CATTCCTGAGATCATCCTAACCCAAACCAGTGGCCGACAATCTCTCTCTAATAAATTACTGCGTCTCCAAACACTTCCTTATCACAGCCAGGAGCTGAGCCCTGACCCAAGCTTTGAGAGCCACCCGGGCTGATAGATCTAACAATTACCTGCGAGAGACCGACTGTGTGACATTCGGGCTGCACATTCAATCAGTCTGACAGTGTCTAACGGCGAGCAGCTCCACAGCACAACCCTAACACGGGACGTTCACTACAATAACGATAATAATAATAATCATCCTTGCATTTGACGTAGCCCCTTATCACGTCATCAAGACACCTCAAAGCGCTTCACAGAATATACTGTAAAGTGGATTGACCTTGTAGTTTGTGAGCAAAATGCGGCAGCAGCCAATTGCACACAGCGGTGTCCCACAAACAGTTGTGGATGGAGTGACCATTTTTTTGGGAGGGATTATTATCCCCGGAAAGTGGTCCGTCAATCGACTAGCAACCCGGTTCCTACTTACTGCTGGTAAGCAGAGGCGTGTGGAATAAGGAAACGTGCCTAAGGTATCGCCCTGGCCGGGAATCGAACCCGGTTCCTCTCGTCTGTGAGGTGAGCGCACCAACCACTACGCTACACGACTCCATTGTGTCTAATCAACGCGGCAGCTGTGAACTCAGCCCCTGTGAGTGGCGTCTGTTTACTCACCCGCTCGGTGTGAAGCGATTGTTGAACAGGAGCGGAGACAAGGTCAGAGTTACCAGGGAGCGCATTGAGCTGCGAGGCAACAGCTAACACACAAACCCCCACCATTAGTCAGCCAAGCACACACACATCCTCTCCCTCACACAATCTTTCACACACACCATCTATCACACATACTCACCACAGAAAGAGATGATGTGACTGCTGTCTTCGTGTACAAACTTCCTGGTCACGGCCTCCTCCATGATCTGCTTCACCTGTGGGCAGACGGGACAGTGGTGGTGAGGGGCAGCCAATCTGCGGCGCAGCAACGTCCCGCAAACGCCCCCCCCTGATGTGAATGACCAGCTTTGTCCGGGGGATTGTTGGCCAGGAAACCGCGAAAGAGAGAGAAACTCCCTTCTGGATCTTTATCGTGCACCCGAACAGGCTGATGAGGGGCTTCGGTTTAACGTCTCATCCGAAGAATGGCACCTCCGACAATGCAAGTCACCCCCCACCCACCCTCACCCCCCCAGCGCTGGAGCATCAGCCTGGACTGTGTGATTCCAAAATCCTGATCTGGGGCTTGAACCCATAACTTGGGGGAGGACAAGTTTGCAGAGCTATGGGGAGAGAGTGGGGGAGTGGGGTTGATCAGGGCTATGGGGGGAGTGGGGGAGTGGGGTTGATCAGGGCTATGGGGAGAGAGTGGGGGAGTGGGGTTGATCGGGGCTATCAGGAGAGAGCGGGGGAGTGGGGTTGATCAGGGCTATGGGGAGAGAGTGGGGGAGTGGGGTTGATCAGGGCTAAGAGGAGAGAGTGGGGTTAATCAGGGCTATCAGGAGAGAGCGGGGGAGTGGGATATGAATTGGAAGCTCTTTTCAAAGAGCCGCCACAGACACGATGGGCCAAATGGCCTCCTTCTGTGCTGTACAATTCTATGATTCTATGAACCTTCTGACTCAGAGGAGAGAGTGCCGCCACACTGACACCCTTGATCTGTTCCTCAGTGATTCCCAGTTTGCATTTCAGAGCTGTGGAGAATTAAACCAGGGCTCAAAATCAAAGTGACAGCTCGGATAGCGAGAGAGAGAGAGAGAGAGAGAGAGAGAGAGAGAATGACAAATGGACAGGAGCAGAGGAAAAATCCTCTGAAAAAAAAAACCCACACAGGGAAGTTAGTTGGAAAATAGCCAAAACAAAATGTTTTAATATGGACTAAAACCAGCCTCTAATTTTATGAATCCACTAACGTTTTTAATGCCGAGGTCCCAATCCACCTCCCCTTCCCAGGCGATCGCCGCGAGTCTGACACACTGAGCTGATCTGAGCTCAACGCAGGATTGAGGGAGACTGTAATAGACAGACCGTCTCGGGAAGAATAAATCTGTCACGGATACAATCTCCAGAAACAATCTCCTCGGAGCAGCAAAGAAATAGTTTGTTTTTGCCAGAAGGCAACACGACAAAAAAAAAGGGATTTAACGCTCTTAACTGTACCAGACGAACACAACAACAACTTGCATTTACACCGCGCCCCTCACACAGGGCATGACCTGAAGATGGGGAAGGAAGGGACAAGGCGGAGGAGGAGAGAGTGACAAGAGGTTTGGAGGGTAGAAAAACAAAGCAAAAAAAGCCAGGAGCCATCAGAAGCCATGACAAGTCAAGATGGTGCGATTGTGATTATCTGTGACTGGTCTATGCAGGTTGAGAGCAGCAAATAACATGTGCCAAAGCCTGGAGATGGAATAAGCTCTCACTGAACAGGGCTTCAGGGGCGGGGGGGGGGGTGGAGGGAGGGTAAGTGGGGGGAAGAGATAAGAATTTAGTACTTCTGGTCTCTCGTCTCTTTGCTCTTGTTGATGTTGCCGTGTCAACAGGCCACCGAGCGGATGATCCACTCTACAGCCCTCCAATGGTCTCGACTCTTGTCTCTCGGCCCAATGGGTAAGTGATTGTCATTCACATCCTCCCTCACCGCGTTACAGGAACCCACACGTAATTCTAACGTTCCCTTCAGTCTCAGCCAGAAGCTAACGCCCTGGAACTGAGATCCTTATGATCTAAGGAGCCCATTTTGTGACGGGACTCTACCCGAAGAAGCTATTTAAATATGCAACAACAACAAGAGTAATGCTCCTTGTATTGGATGCAGCGCCTTACCAAAGTAAATGAGCACAAAAGAGAATGGAAAGAAAAACGAGAGGAAAGGTTAGAAACAAAAGGCTGTGGCGAGAGGGGGTCAGGTTGACCGTTTCAGTGACATAGGAAGGCTGGTCAAGTGAGCAGGTGTCATGATGATTGGAGACCCTGCGGAAAGGAGGGAGCAGGGTACAGTTATCACAGTGTTAAACACAGTGCCAGCTAATCTCCTGACTCACACCCTTGGCCCCCACGCCTCCCAACCACACAGACATCAACTCCACTCGAGAGCAAAGCCTCGCGGCAAAAACTGTCACCAGTCCCGCAAGGAACAACGAGCGAACGAGCAAACAAACACAGGAACAAAGGCTGAAAAGCCGTTTATCATCAAAGGAAAGGATTCTGAAAACGCGTTAACGGTCTGTTAGGACTCGGCTGGTTATATAACTGCTCAGCTCCCACTCAAAGCTAATCTCATAACCTCGGCACTCACTCACTCCCAGCCACTTCACCTGTCATTGTCTGGGTTAGACTCCAGCTGCTACCCCCAACCTATACACTCTGGGCATCCCCCCCAAGCCTTGGCTCTCGCCAACCTGCGCCTAATAATTTCCGGAATTAGTTAAGCAAGATGTGTCCCTCCAGGGAGAAAGAGAGAGAAAGAGAGAGAATTCTCAGTTGGGTTTGGAGACTCTTAAGCAACGGTGATGGGTTTCCGCACGTGTCAGACACACGCACCCGGCCGACCACACACACACGCACAAAAAAAAATTGTCTGGGGGGCAAATATATGTGGCTTTTATCTTCTATTTTTTTCTATGAACAGGACTTTCTTTGCCCCTGGGAATGGTATTAGTGAGATATTTACAGCACAAGAGGTCCAGGAGAGCCCTGCAGCCCTTAAGAATGAATCAACTGCCTTCTCCACAACCCCCCCACCCCCCCAGGCCAGTCTATTGACTGTGGCAAGTCCACGCTTGCATTAAATAAATCATTCTCTTTCCACTTATAATCTCTCAGCGGGAATGCAATTTGCAGCAGAGATTGTACTGAGTGGATCGCTGTGCGTGGGTTTAATTTCTCGAGGGTGGGGGGAGGGGAAGGTCACAGCATTGCTGGTCTTCAGAACAGGGGAACCACATGTTGAATTTGCGCCTACAAACTCACAGTCACTACACTTGACAGCAGTTCCCTGTGAGTCGCTTTCAGAACCCTTACCTTTCACGCAGTCCCTTTCACGTCTCAAAGCGCCTGACAGGGTTAATTTGAGAGAAAGACTGAGCCAGGCTGACACCCGGTGAGCAAAACTGTGGGCTCCTGTAGCGTATTAGTTAGCGTGCTCGGCTCGCAAGTGAGAGGACCTGGGTCCGACTCCAGGCCGGGGCGAAATGTTAGGCAAGTTTCCTTATGATTATTATTACAACCCATCTGATCCTCTCACCTGGAGATGGCACAGACACGATGGGCCGAATGGCCTTCTTCTGTGCCATACATTTCTACGTTTCTCCTGTTGCTTCCCAACACGAGGAGCTATCCAGCATTGTGTCATTGCCTGTCAATCTCTCAGTAGTACAGCATCAAATGCAAGGATTATTGTTATTATTATTAACAACAAAAAGCAATTTCGTAAGAGAATCTCTTCCACGCTCAGCTGAAATTCTCTCTGGCGTGATAAAGTAGGCTTCTTGTGGGTGGACATATATTTTTAATATATATTATTATTCTTCTGCTTTTGTGTTGCGAATGAAGGAGAAAATTCCCTTTGTGCGTCACGCTGAAGATTTTGATTAAAACTCCCCGCATTCGTCCACAGTGTAAGAGGAGCAGAAAATGCTAAGCAAATGCAGTGACCCCAGAGTATGATGTGATTCATATCACTGTGCAGGCTCCAAAGTGATCAGCAGAGACCTTCAGGGTAATTCTGTGTTAATGGTAGATTTACAGACTGTGGTAAGTGAGGTTGACAAACTAACAATATTAATAATAATTCTTGCATTTGATATAGCGCCTTATTGCGTCTTCGAGACGTCTCAAAGCCCTTCACAGACTATACTGCAAAGTGGATTGACTGTATATTTTGTGGGCGAAACGCAGCAGCCAGTTGTGGACAGCAAACAGTCGTGTATTGCGTGACCAAATTTTTTTTTCACATTT